CTGTTACTCGCCCTGATCTTGCCTATGCTGTCCATGTGATTAGTCAGTTTGTTTCTGCCCCTCGCTCTACACATTGGGCTGCTTTGCTTCGGATTCTTCGTTATCTTCGCAGTACTATCTTTCAGGGCTTGCTGTTCTCTTCTACTTCTTCCTTAGATTTGGTGGCTTATGCTGATGCTAATTGAGCTGGTGATGTTAATGATCGTAAATCTACTTCTGATTTCTGTGTGTTTTTTGGCGATTCTCTGATTTCTTGGAAAAGTAAGAAACAAACTATTGCTGCCTGTTCTACTGCCGAAGTTGAGTACCGTGCTAGGACTCATGCTATTGCTAAAATTGTCTGGCTTCGTAGTCTCTTATCTGACTTGTGCATCGCTCCGTCCTCTCCAACTTCTCTCTATTGTGACAACCGAAGTGTTATTCAGATTGCCTATAACACTGTCTTTCATGAGCGGATGAAGTACATTGAGATTGATTGTCACTGCATCCATTAGCATTTGCAGTCTAGCTCTATCTCGCTTCTTTTTGTCACTTCGGCTCTGCAACTTGCTGACTTCTTTACCAAGACTCACACCACTGCTCGATTTCGGTTTCTCCTTGACAAACTCTCAGTGTTTTCTGCTAAAACATCTTGAGTTTGAGCGGGGTGTGAGAATATATTTCCTATATTGCATATATTGTATTTTAGAAATTTAGAATGATTGTGATTATGTAAATATTATGTGTAATTTGTATTTCCTTTTTGGTCTTAGGGATTTGAGTTCTATATAAGTGATGTAATCTTTGTATCATTGAATCATTCGAATATACAGAAATATTCAGAAACTTACAGCTAAGTGTTTATTCAACTTCTTGTAAAGTTTAATATATCTCTTTATTTTTCGCTCTATTATGCATTATGGATCTACATTAGATGTTCGTTTGAGATGCTTTTTCTAGACAAAGTTTGTTTGGGATGCTTTTTTTCTCGCCTCAATAGTATTATTTTTTCATTGAGATGGTATGAAAACTTTGCGTAGGCTTTGGAGCATGAATACTTGAGGGGCTGTTGTGGTGGCACTAATGACTTCTGATATTTGAATAAACTAGCTTCATTTAGGACTTTGGCGACTCTACCATATCCGGCATTTTCTCACCATGCTTTGCTTTGTTGATGAGGCATAAAGGCATTGGTAAACAAGTGCTTACTCCATTGGTTATTTAGGATGACCATGTGTCAGTCAGCATTTGGAGCAGGTGGATCTCCTATGTAAACGACATTTGCCATCATGATGCAGCCATTTTTGGTTGAGCCCTAACAATAATGACTGCACTCGGTACCTTGGCATCTGACTAAAGAGAGATGCAAATGTAGCTTGTTTGGGAGCTGCTCAAACATTGAACAGTGCTTTGTGCTTTGGGTTTCTCTACCTAGGTTGGAGCGTGGACCTAGGTGGTCCGCTTCTCAAACAATTGTAGATCAAATGTTTGTATGCTCGTGTTTAGTTGTCCCTTTTCTTTGTGGTCCTCTCCTCCCGTCGCCTCGCTCCTTTGTCTTTTGAAATTCTGTCTCTTTCATTTACAAGCATTAGTAGAGGTCCCTTAATTTGCTTTCATTATCTGTTTCATTGATTAACAGCTTTTTCTGCAATGGTGGATGGTAAAAGTCAAGAAATGTCAACCAAAGAGTTGTCGGGGGGAGCCAGAATCCACTACATTTTTCAGTCAATTTTTGTGAAGAGCTTGGAGGTGCAATTTAGTTTTCATAATTATTGAAATGCTGGATTGCATTTTTTTTTTTTGGACTGCTGAAATATGTAAATTTGAAGTCATGTTTACTAGGAAATCTGCAGGTATCTTTTGCTTGGACTGTTACCTTAGTCAATACATTTACCATATTAATTTATTGATTTTCTAAATGATAAAACAGTCATTTATTTAGTTTCTGCTCAAAATGTGATAATGGTAATCATGAGATTTTAAGTGCTACATAGCTGGTAACTACCTCATTTTTTGTGTAGGAAGTGAATCCTTGTGAAGATTTTTCTGATGAGGACATTAGAACGGCTATCCAAAATGCTACTGGTCCTAGAAATGCTTTGTTTGTTCCAGAGGTGTCAATGTTTTTACATACTGGCTCTATTTAGCATGTTTTCTATGGTTGGTCTTGTGTTTCAACAATTCTTAGCATATTTCTGATATGAATATTTATTATTATATTCACCTTTCAGGTCCCATTTCAAGTTTTGGTTAGAAGACAAATTGCTCGATTGTTAGATCCTAGCCTTCAGTGTTTACGACTTGTCTATGATGAACTAATAAAGGTGCAGAAAAACAGACTTCCTCACATTGTGTTTTGCTCTCTCTCTCTCTCTCTCCCCCCCAAACTGAATGAGATGTGATCCGGCCAATTAATTTTCATGCAGATGAGCCGTGCTTGTGAGGCAATGGAGATACGAAGATTTCCAGTATTACGAAGGCGTTTGGACGAAGTCATGGGGAAGTTTTTGCGTGATGGTGTAAAACCGGCTGAAAGAATGATAGGAAACATTATTGAGATGGAGGTTCTTTGATCTCTGTCTGTTCTTTTCTTTAAGCTTTGTTATGCAGGAATTAGTATTTGGTTTACATGATTACTTAAATATATCGAACAACATTTGGCATGGAATTTTTAAACCTCACTTATGTACTGGATAAGTGTCATCTTGGAATTGAAATGAGAACGCAAGACATTAAATTTGTTGGAAATACTAGAAATTATTGTCTAAGATCTATTCAGAAATTGGTTATGACTTGAGGGTTGACAGTAAAAAATACTGAAATGCTTCGGACTCATAAAAAGAAATTTAGACTTTAAAGCTAAATTGTAACTGTCGGTTCTTTGAAAGTTTAAATTCCAAAGACTACTCTCTTTCTCTTTCTCTCTCTCAGAGAGAAAAACACCCTTGTCTTTTATTCTGCACACCTGCAAACTCTTCTTTCCATTGATGATTTGCTTTCATTGCTCAAACTTCTGTTTTACGCTATACCACCATTCCTGAACTTTCCATACAACACCCTGCTTCTTTAATCACATGTTCTCAATTCTAAATGATCCTTTCCCACTCCAAGCACCCCTGCTGTGTTATTTTGCATTCTGACACACAGAGGAAATGTTAACAGGACTCCATATAAAATTGTGGACAGATAATGCTCAACAAATATGACTTAAAATTGAAATAACTGACATGAAATTACCATGAACATCTTTTCTTGCCTAAAAGTAACTTGTTCATTTAATTGGAGCTCAAAGCCTTAACTGTAGCCTTCAAAGGAGGTAGCTCTTCTTTTTTACTCAATTGCTACCACATTAAGTATAGAATCTTCTTGGTCCATAGCTCATTTGATTCGGTTATCTTTAAATACGTTTAGCATGCTTTTGAAATTGTTAATCAATGATTATTAGTTATTATTATGAATTGATGAGATTTGTACAAATGGTAACTTGATCCTCTTCTGATCAGTCAACTTTTTTCATTATTTCAGATGGACTACATAAATTCTTCACATCCAAATTTTATTGGTGGAAAGAAAGCAATGGAGGAAGCTATGTGGAAACTGAGATCTTCTCAGGTGCCATGACTTTAATGGATCCAAATCTGTAGTTTTTAGCCCAAAAAAATTGTGGATTTTGTTACCTCCCTTGACCACTATAGGCATCATTGTCAAATCTTGAATCGAATCTTGAACCATTTTGCTAAGATATTGAATTGTGAATCGTATCTAATTGTATCGAATCGTGAATCACACGTTTCATTTTATTTATTGTAATATTTAATTTTATATATTTATATACATATAAATATACACAATGTTTGAAATGAAATAAATATCAATATAACTAAGTTATATTTTTGTATATACACTAAGAAGCACGGAGATCCCGTATCTGATACGTATCCCGCCGTATCGGGCGCGTATCTGTATCTGATACGTATCCGATACGCGTACGAGGGCCATTTCGGAGTATCCGTGCTTCATAGTCCCTTGACCACTATAGGCATCATTGTCAAATCTTGAATCGAATCTTGAACCATTTTGCTAAGATATTGAATTGTGAATTGTATCTAATTGTATCGAATCGTGAATCACACGTTTCATTTTATTTATTGTAATATTTAATTTTATATATTTATATACATATAAATATACACAATGTTTGAAATGAAATAAATATCAATATAACTAAGTTATATTTTTGTATATACACTAAGAAGCACGGAGACACGGATACGGACACATGAAAGGAGACGGACATGCCGACACAACAATTTAAAAAAAAAATGCAAGACACGACACGTGAGGGACACACACAGAATATATAATTTTATATATTCATTATATGTCATATATATGAATATATTATTCCAAAACAATAAACAAAGGCAATCTAATACTAATTTCTATTGACATTGTTTTTCTTTCATCGTTGTATTCTAAAAAATGATATTTTAGCCATTTAACTCAATGTAGGTGTATATAAAATTTCTAAGTTTTCATTGTATTTCCGTAACGTGTGTCTGATCAATGGACACGTGTGTTTAAGTAATGGATACGTGTGTCCTTCAAGTGACCGAGTCTAATTTTTTTCTTAAAAAAATAAGACGCGTTTGGATGAGTGTCGGACATATGTCGGGAAGTGTCCGGCGAGTGTCAGGGTCCGACACTGACATGCCACCTTTTTAAATGTGTTCGTGCTTCTTAGTATATGCATATATATATATATATAGGTTGATAAATTCTTAGTATATACATATAAAACCATGTAATCTCTTTATTTTTATTTTTTTTATATTTTGTGAAAAAGATGCTGTTTCATGCATTATTCAAACAGAACTGAATCGCTTCAGTCACAGTGAATCGTAATGAATCGTAGTAAATCGCAATTGAATTGTAAGATTCTATTGCACGAATCAAATAGCTTTTCTTAAAACTCGTATCGAATTGTATGAATTGTAAGATTGTAACAGCCATGACTATAGGTTTAAGGGTATCCGAATAGAACATCATCTGTATGTTTATGCTGAATCAGGATGATAATGATGTTGAAAAAGTATCCATGTCAGAGAAGGGCCAGAAATCTCGAGTTGTCCAGGCTAAGTCTGTTTTGACTGGAGTGTTGCCTAACCAGGTATTATTCTTTCCCCTTTTTTATGATTTTTGAATGAGCCAAAGATGTTGCGAAACATTTACTGGTAAAACCTCAACAGGAAGTCATTGCTGGAAAAAGCACAGAGAGATCCTTGGGGGAAAGTAACCAACACAACGAACTATAAAAACTATTGATAGGAATACAGAATAGAATAACTAATGTGGGGTCGAAATAATTCTATGGTGAAGGCTGAGGCCCCTCTCCGTGTAAAATCATATATATATATATATATATATTTTTATGATCTGATAATCTAGGCAGAGGAAATTGTCTGTGCCAAGATATCAAATGCATTGTGTATCAATACATGCATGGTTAGAATTATGCGATTTGATTCATATGATTCATACAAGGGTCAACCAAAGCGATTCAAATTATTGAATCAAAAATTGAGTAAATCATGTGATTCACCATGATTCATTGCGATTTACTGTGTTTTTATTTGCATAATGTATGAAATGACATCGTTTTTACCTATATATGAAGAAATTACAAAGAAATCAATTAGTTATATTGATTAACTATTTTACCCAAAAGATTTATGATTTGACAGCAATGGATGCATGTAGCTTTGTGGGCCTTGTGAACTCAACTTGGTCTATTGATAACAATTGATGACACCCTGTCTGCCATAATAGTTCATAACTGAGTATCAGTGGCTTAGCCCGATGGCTCTGAACGCCAAGTGGGCTAAGTATACGCTGTTGGGCCGAGCTAAGTTTATTTTTTTTATGATCTGATAATCTAGGCAGAGGAAATTGTCTGTGCCAAGATATCAAATGCATTGTGTATCAATACATGCATGGTTAGAATTGTGCGATTTGATTCATACGATTCATACAAGGGTCAACCAAAACGATTCAAATTATTGAATCAAAAATTGAGTAAATCATGTGATTCACCATGATTCATTGCGATTTACTGTGATTCACCGCGATCCAGTTATGTTTTTATTTGCATAATGTATGAAATGACATCGTTTTTGCCTATATATGAAGAAATTACAAAGAAATCATTTAGTTATATTGATGAACTATTTTACCCAAAAGATTTATGATTTGACAGCAATGGATGCATGTAGCTTTGTGGGCCTTGTGAACTCAACTTGGTCTATTGATAACAATTGATGACACCCTGTCTGCCATAATAGTTCATAACTGAGTATCAGTGGCTTAGCCCGATGGCTCTGAACGCCAAGTGGGTTAAGTATATGCTGTTGGGCCGAGCTAAGTTGGTTTGAGTTCTACTCTGGGTTGTGCTTGGTCTGGGTCAAACTATGCCTATCTTAGTGCAACATTTGGCTTCTCTTGAAGACCACTAAATACTTTTGCATGTCCCATTTGAAATTCATATACATGTACTGACCATTTAATGAATAAAATGAGTATTTCTGGCTTAATTAATAAAGGTTGTACCAGTAGCAGAAGGCTATCCCTCTTAATGGGATCTAGACTTGCCATATATATATATTAGCAAGGCATCGGTCCGAGTTTCCAGTTTAAAACAGAAGAAGTTTCCATATACAGAAGATTTTTTTTATAAATTTTAGGGGAAATTACAAAACAACCCCAGGGTGTGACCCTTGTAACAAAATAAACCTTGAATTTGTAATTTTGTCAATATAAACCCTAATCTTTTTATTTGTTTTCAATATAAACATCTGCCTATTTTTGCTAAGTAAAACCAACAGAAAAAGGGTATTTTAGTCCTTAAACTCATTGAAAAGGAATATTTTAAACATTTTATGTACACTTACATTGAGTTTAATAAAATATAATTTTTCAATCGGTTTTACTTAACAGAAATAGGAAAATGGTTTAGATTGAAAACAAATAAAAAAGTTAGGATTTAAATTGACAAAATAAAAAACTCAAGGTTTATTTTGTTATAGTGTCAAACTCTCTCTCTCTCTCTCTCGCTTTTTTTTTCTTATTTTTTCTTTTGTAATTACCCCTAAATTTTATTAATATATTTAGTTCATTATTATGTGCAGTTCCTACAAAGGATTAGACTAATTACATAGACAATACTTGAATTCGTATGGTCTGCCCCAAGGCCTGAAGCTCATTTATCTGGTCTACTCTGCTCACTTGTTTACATTTTGAGTACATTTTGTAATTTCTTTCATGTTTGGTCTGTGGCAGGGAACTCGTCCTCAGTCCAACAATGACAGACCTGTATCAGTTGGTATAGTCTTTGTTCTTAAAGAATTAATTTCATAAATTGTTATTCACTTACAAGTATCTTGAATTATTCACTTACAAGTTGGTGCAATATTGAAGCATTTTTGTTATTGGGTATGGATGTTTTTGGGCTATTATAGGGGATGGCGGTTATTTTATTTCTCTTCTTTTTGTATTATCTAAGGGTTGTGCTCCCTATGCATGTTATCTATTACAAATATATTTTTTTTGGCGTTGATAAAAATAAAAAAAATAAAAAAATTTTAAAAAAAAATCTTGAATTTTGTGGGAGGAAATTACACATTTAAGTGAAAACAACTCAAAATAATTGCACTTTCAAATAATTGCTCTTTGCTGATGCTTAATTTCTTTCTTTTGGTTTCGACATTAGCATGGCTTGAACATTTTGATATATCACACTACATAATTTATTTTTACTTTCAAAACGCGTGATATGGGATATATGATAATATTCTTGGTGTCTATCCTAAGAAGCACGGACACTTCTAAAAAGGTGACGTATCCATGTCATGTCTGTGTCGAACGCCGACACTCTTTGTACACTTTTAGGACACGTGTCCGACACTCTTCAAAACGTGTCCTATTTTTTTAATTTTTTTAAAGACCTTGACATTTTTTGGACACTTAAAGGACACACGTGTCAATCACTTAAACACACGTTTATCGATTAAATACATGTGAAACTAATTATAAGTTTGAACAAAACAACTTAAGATACAATAATAAAACAAAATCCATATAAATTTATTGGAATTAGTGTCATATTACATTTTTTTATTATCTTTGAATGATATATTTATATATATAACATATAATAAATATATAAAATTATATATTTTATGCGTGTCCTCCTTGCGTCATGTCCTGTATTTTTTGAAAATTAACGTGTTGGCGTGTCCGTATCCATGTCCGTGCTTCTTAGTGTCTATCAAAATGTTTGTTATGTTTATTAAAGCAATGTGTCTGATTGATTGCATGCATGTGTGAGTGTTTTTATACATATAGTTGTAGTGATTAGCCCATGTTTCTATCTAGCCAATATTGATTTTTATGATTGCAGTCATTGAGATTCATGTATATTTATATTGTACGCCGGTTGTCGCAATAGAATCTTGTATATTCCCTTTTAACTCTATCTACCATTTGATCAACCTTAATATGTTTCTTTGTTGGGTGGATTTGGACTTGAATTTTGTATGAAACTGAGACCTTTTCTTGATGACTACATAACGAGAACTTTTTGCCTTAGATATAATATTATGTTTCTCCGATTGCATCTGTTTGATGCATTTGCATGCGCATGCACAAAATGAACTGTAATTTGATTTTAAGTACAAGTTGTTGGGGGGAATCTGAGACCTGTGTGGGGTGTACACAGAGACAGTAAAAGTTAATGGTTGTGATTTTACAGAAATGCTGCTTGCCTTCTATAGTTAGTGTGTAATGTGTATTATGAGCATGATTATGGCCATCCTACTACTTGGCATGAGTAGTAGCTACTAGCTATATGTACATTACTGTTACATGGTATTTAGCAGGTAATTCATCCACAAAGACTTGGGCCATTTCATCTATATTTGGGAGTCGGGCATCATCTGCAGAGAGTTCAGCTAATAGATCTCTTGATGAAACTGTTTTTGATATGGAACGGATGCCTTCTGTGATCCAATTGAGAGAGGTAATAATGTGCTTCACGAGCACTTGATAATTAATTTTTATTTTGAAATTGTGATTGTATTTTTCATTATTCCTGATTCAAGTTCGTCATTTTGTGGCCGGTAATTTCAGCCACCTGCCATCTTAAGGCCATCAGAAGCACAAACAGATAATGAAGCAGTTGAAATAATAGTAACCAAATTACTCTTGAGTTCTTACTATGACATTGTCAGAAAGAACATTCAAGACTTTGTACCAAAAGCTATAATGCATTTTCTGGTATTGTTATTGAAACTTTTCTTTTCTGTATTATATTTGTTCAAATCTATTATTTGTGGGGTGTGGAATATCCATTTAGCCTTGAGGTTGAATTTTGTGCATTCTTTTGATCTTCATCCTCTGGTTCTGGTCATCTCAACGTTCTGTTACTGTGTATGTTCTCCAGGTTAACCATACGAAAAGGGATCTTCTGAACACCTTTATACAGAAGCTGTACAGGTATGCACATGGGACAAAGTGAGACTTCTCTAGTAGGAGTTCTGTTCTGTTCTTCTGATTAAATCAGTCAAAGCTAATTTATTAGTAGCATTGTAAATATTTCTAATACGTCTTAAATGTACATTTAAATTTATTGAAAAACTTATTAGCTCTCATCAAAAGATTCCAAATGGGAGTGTTGGGGTATATATGGCCGAGCCACCAATGGTTTGTTAACAATCTTTTTTTATAAACTTTTCTAGGCATGGTTGACCCTATTTTGTCGTGGTCGACCACAGTCGATCATAGTTGTCCACATCCACAAGGATAATTGACCATATTGTGAGACTTCCTAAAACTGCTCTTTGAACCTACCTATGGTTGACCATGCTGAGCTGACAAAGATTTGGCTTATGTAGCATAGCTTGTTCAGACTTGTTCCTAGCCTTGTCCAAAGTCATCTTCATTTCGATGAAGCTCTTCTATAGCATTTCTTTGATGTTGATGATGATCTCTCATAGAACTTCAAGTTCAGGTGATGCAATCAAATTTGCTCATCTTAGCAGTGGCTTGAATTCTATTTTAGGCTGCATAAATAAGTCATGAAATTGCCAACCTATTGCTAATCTTAACCCTAACAAATTAATTATTTTTCCTGTAACATCCCTTTTTCATACTTCGTGGAGAGAGAAATTGAGAAAGCCCGTGTTATGAGAGGTTTTGATTTTGATATTGCTAGGATTAACTTTCCCATATATGATGTTGAAATATTCCATTTTAGTTGAAACTTCTAAGGCACACAAACATGGGATAACACTTGACATGCGTTATATCTGCCTTTTTTTTAGTAAAATAAGTGCAGGCTAAAATGATTCTCTTAGGTGTTTGAGATGGGCATGTTTCAAGATATTGTAATTTCTATGATCTCTTAGTTTGACCTGAGTTACTTATTGTGCTGCTGACCTGTTAATCTTGTCCCCTGACTTGATTGGTGTTTTTAGTGGAATAAAAGTACACTTGGAATGTCTGCTTGCTTGGTATATAGGATGCACTGAGTAAGGCTGTTTGCAACTGATGGCTCATGAACAATGATATTGTCATGTTCCACCATCCCCAACAATAGCCTTCTTATATAGCTTTCATTTATGTGCTTATTATTGTTGTTATATTTTGGGATAATTGTTATTGCTACAGCCATTTTCGACGATTCCATAGTGTCATTAGCTTATTCTTCATTTATAGGGCTGTGTATGAGGCTATGGAAGCAGCCAAGTGGCAGTGGAAATGGGTATTTAAAAAAAAAATTATTGGAATAAGAAAAATTGAATATGCCGTGACATTCAAAGGTCCTTTATATTTGGGAAATAGTGTTTTAGGTTATTGTCCAGAAGTTCAGTCATTGAGCTCTAGGTGGTGGATAGGGCTCTGCAAAACACTGCCAAACCCGTCGTGAATGGGCCCTGAACCATTTGGGTTGAGAGGGTTGGCAGGTGTGCAAACATTTTTAGGAGCAGTCCCAGTTTGTAGGTGGTTCAGAAATGTTTAACCTGCCAATAACCCAAACCGACACACTATTATTTTAAGTATTTTATAATAGGTTTGTGCATCCCACCACACTCAAATCAATCTCCACAAATAACCTTCTCTAAAAAGTAAGAACACCACTCCATTCATTTCAATCAATCAGCCTTCTCTGAGTTCTCTCTTCTCTATCCCCATTCTCTCTCTCTCTCTCTCTCTCTCTCTCTCACTCTCACTCATTCATCACCCGGCTGGTGCTTCCCCAGTCCTCCATGGTTTCAATACTTCCAAGGATCTAACTTCTAAGACTCCAAGGAGGCAACGATTGATAAAACAAAACAGAAGACAGGTCGCCATAGCCCTCAGTTAATATTTCAGTTTTCTCTCTGAGATCATGTCTGTCTGGCTGTCTGTCTGTCTGTCTCTCTCTCTCTCTCTCAGATCCTCCTCATCAACTTTCTTTCCCGTGTCTACACCCCTCCACCATCACCGGATTCACATCCTGGCACCCACTGCACTTCCCCTCTACTATCAGCCCCAAGTCTCCTCCCATCTTCTGCTGCTTCCCCATTTTTTTTTTTAAATTTATAATAATGCTTTAAAAACAATTTTCTTTTCTTGTCTGTGCTTATTGGTTCCCCATGTTTTCATTTTTTTCTGTATATAGATAAACCATTTTTGTTTCCTTTACATTTACCTTCTTTTTTTTTTTTTCTTTTTTTTTTTTTGTGTGTGTGTATGCTGTTTGTTTGATTGTTTTTTTTTGTTTTTTGTAATGCTTTCTGTCTTTTATGTTTTATTGTCTGCAGTTTAATCTTAACATATGTGCAATTTTTTTTTTAATATCTGTTTATGAAGATTCTTTTTTTAAGACTCTGTTTAAATCATGGATTTGGATAGGGATTTGGAAAGAGAAAGGAAAATGTGAATAAAATATAAGCTAAATTTGTTTTCTCCAATTCCCTCACTTTTTCCTTTTCTTTCTCAAAATTCTACCAAAATCTATGATCCAAACACAGTCTAAATCTCTGTTTGAGTTGAGTTTGGTTGAATTAGGTTATAAGTTTAAGAGCATATTTGGTACGATGAAATGGGCTGGAACGAAATGCCCATTCCAGCTTTACATTCCTTTTCCCATGATAGGTACATCATATGTAAGAGGGAATATCCATTCCATTGGAATGGTCATTCTAACAAGAAGTGAGAATATTTATTCCTTTCTCAATGTTAAGGAATAGGCATTTCATTGCATCATGGAATCATCCTTTAACAAGTGTTTATTAGTATGTTGGCTATTACCACCATCTATTACTGCCTTCGTCACCGCCACCCCTCTTCTACCACCCTACCATTGCCACCTACAACCATCGATGCCACTGCCACTACCCTACCACCACCCTACTGCCACCACAACCACTACCTCACCACCACCATAACTATCATCCTACCACCACCACCTATTACCACTGCCAACCGCCATCGACCTGCCATCACCACCACCAATCTACTATTGCCACCACCACCTATTACCACTGCCTATCACCACCCACGCCACAATCACTGCAACAACCACTACTATACCACTGCCGTTGCTGCTGCAACCCACCCCACAAGCGCCGCGACAACCAGTACCATACCTCTACCGTCACTGCTGCAACCACCCCCGCCTACCACCGCCGCCATCCTACTATTGACATCTCCACCTATTACCACCATCATTATTATTGTTGTTGCTGCCACCACAACAACCACCTTATGACGATCACCTATTGCCACTGCCTATCACCAACACAGTACTGCCACCTATTACCCCTGCTTATCACCGCCACCACAATCACAACCACAACCACAACCAGTGTTTATTAGTACGTTGGCTATTACCACCATCTATTACTGCCTTCGTCACTGCCACCCCTCTTCTACCACCCTACCATTGCCACCTACAACCATCGATTCCACTGCCACTACCCTACCATCACCCTACTGCCACCACAACCACTACCTCACCACCGCCATAACTATCATCCTACCACCACCACCTATTACCACCGCCCACGGCCATCGACCTGCCATCACCACCACCAATCTACTATTGCCATCACCACCTATTACCACTGCCTATCACCACCCACGCCGCAATCGCTGCAACAACCACTACTATACCACTGCCGTTGCTGCTGCAACCCACCCCACAAGCGCCGCGACAACCAGTACCATACCTCTACCGTTGCTGCTGCAACCACCCCCGCCTACCACCGCCGCCATCCTACTATTGACATCTCCACCTATTACCACCATCATTATTATTGTTGTTGCTGCCACCACAACAACCACCTTATGACGATCACCTATTGCCACTGCCTATCACCAACACAGTACTGCCACCTATTACCCCTGCTTATCACCGCCACCACAATCACAACCACAACCACAACCAGAACCCCAACACCAACCCTCACCCTACTACCGCCACCACCACATCATACCAAACTATGACCACCACTGATTCTTCCACCATCGCCATCACAATCACCACTCAAACCACCACTTTCACAACTATAAAAACTATCATGATCTACTACAAATTTAGATTGCTTGTTACTAGTGTGATAAAAAATAATTTAAAAAAAATCCCATTCCATTAGTTTAATAAATATAACCAAACATGATAATGAGAATTGTTATCTTATTTTTATGCCATTCCATGTTAGCACCCAAATAATGGAATGTGAATGAGCATTTCATTCTCACTATCATTCCATAACATCGTACCAAAGTTCATTAAAGGTCTTGTTACAAAGGCGCAATTTGAGAAGATAGAAAGTTACGTGCCCAACCCGCCAAGTTGAAACTGACCCGATGGTGTTTGTGAACCACGGTTTGGTTGTAGTTGGAAAATAATTCTATCAGCCATTGGCGGTTTGATTGATATTTTTTCCCTAAACCTCTGCACCTACCCGCGCACACCTCTGGTTGTGGACATTTGGCTGAGCCTGTTTATAGCCCTATTTCAAGACGATTTGACTGATTGGTGTTTAATAAATTTAATAAAAAAATATAAACTATGCAATGATTCTAAATTCTAATAATTTGAATGTTAAAATTGCTAAGGTATTTGCATGAATTAGGTAAAAATGCAGTAATGTTTTAAACTATATCATCTGACTGTTTCTGATTATGAAAGCATTACTTTGTGGCACACAACACCGCCATGCACCCCTGGATGGAATATGAACGGCTAGTAATGGATCACTGATGTCCTCTGTTTGCTGCATTAACTTAAAGGTTTGATATTTCTGAGCTTTTTTTTTCTTCTTTGGTGTCCACAGAGAGAGCCTTTTTGAAGAGATGTTGCAGGAGCAACATGATGTTGTCACGAAGAGAAAAAGGACAGGAGAAGTGTACCATGTCCTGCAACAAGCTGTTCAGGTGAGTCAACAAAAAAAAAAAATTAACAAATTTAAAAAAAGGAAAAAAAAAAACAAAAAAACAAAAAGGGAAAAGAAACAAAAGATAAGGTCTAGTCGATTCAGAAGTATGCATCCATTAATGTCATTATGATATGTGAGCCATGAAGAGCATAAGCTGGTGTCCCATCATCTACCTTTGCTCAATGTTGTACACATTGGCTTTTATGTATATCTATGGAACTCATTCTATTTCATTAAATATGTTATCTCAAGTGGGCCTATTGGTTTCATTTATTCTTTGTTAGTAACCTTGTTTATATACAAGGCCGCCTCCTAGTTATATTTCAGTCAGAACGCACTTTTGTTCTCTCTTTCTTTCTCTCTCTCTCTCTCTCTCTCTCTCTTTTTTCTTCCAGTGGAGATGGAAAATGCATACCCAATGTGATGAACATCATTTTTATTTTATTTTATTTTATTTATTTTTTATTTTTTTAACGGGACTGAAATAATTGTTTGTTTTTTTCTATTATAGACACTGGATGAGGTTGAAGCTGATGTGTCTTCACGAGGTTCAAGCTTGGGTGCTGCTGCTGCTACCTCTGGATTGCTAAGGATCTCAGGCCTTTCATCCAATCTCTACTCAATATCAAATGGTGAGAACAGGCCATCTTACACGTCCACAAACTCTGCTGCTCGCAGAGTATTCCAATTTGGCGATCGGTCATTGCCTGGAGACTCAAATGGTGGCCTTCACAGATATTAAGGTGGTGGGGGGCTTGGATATCCGATCTTTGAATTATGGGTGGATTTTTTATTTATTTATTTTTTTTTTTCTTTCTATGCTTTGCTTTATGGTTTATTGTATGGTGCTTTGAATCCCATATCAATATCACCTAATGGGATGTGTTTTACGACTAATATTCTTTTTGTGAATATGAATCTGGTTAATTTGCAGATTTTTTTACCAGATGAGTGGATGTCTAAGTTGGCGAGGAGGTTTGGTCTGGTGTTTTTTTCCTTACATATATGATGGGTAATTTTTTAATAATTCCGGAGTATGAATACGTGGTATTTTATAACATTATGATTGGTGGAAAGATGGATAGGCGGGGTATTAATTGGGGAACATGAGAAGCATATTGAATGATAATTGATCAGGGAGTATAGATACGTGATACTCCAGGAATATTGAATAATTTTCTCACGTATATGAGTATATAATTTATTAATTTTCTTTTGTCAATATATGTGTGTGTATTGAGAGGATACTCTCCCAGTTTTGATTAATGTTTTTGGAACTGCATTTGTGTTGGTTACCCAAAAGGATACACTAGTCATGTTTTTTCGTATAACTACAAAAGTCAATCCCAAGTACATCAGTTTCTTTTTTTTGTTAAAAAAGTTAAGAAATTATTATAATGTCAATCCCCAAATGAGACCTAAATCCGACATGTAATTATATAAAATTCATATGGAAACAAGATTCAAATCATGCAAATATAGAAAATAAACTAAAAAAAAGAAACACAAATCTAAATCAGATCATATAGGAAATCTATGTAATGCAAAATAGAAAACTAATCTAACATATGCGAACTAAATCTAGATCATGTCAAATATGGAGAGTAAATTATAGGCACTAAAATTTTGGGTTTTTTTTAATCATTGTACCATCAATCAACAAAATAAATCCTCAAGATTGGTCAAAATCAAAGCACCCAAGAATGATAATAAAAATATGAATTCCACTACAATCATGAGATTTAATGCAATTACAAAATAAAATGATTTTGATGGGTGAATTAAAAAATGCAAATCCGTTAATAATACAAGTCAACATCATAGGAGAGAAGGTGTTGTATGAAAATCAAATCAAATTCAAAATATATATATATTTTTTTAATCGGTAGAAAATTAATTATAAATATGAGAAATATAACATCAAATTGGATAATTAAAGTTCAATAATATGCCAAGCTCAACAACTATAGCCAGTCCAACAACTATATGCAATCCCTACAGTGGGGAGAAATAAATACAACATAGAATATTAAACTGTTTTTCATATGAGTTAAACCTATAATCTCATACGTGTTAAACCTATAATCTCATACTATAAAGTGGTCTATACACTACTATACTAAGGTCATGTTTGATTCACAAGACTAATAGTGAAGTATTAATAATCTTATTAAATTAGTGTAGTATTCACTATCTAATTGGATTAATATCTACTGAATTAATAATCTCACCCCTACTCTATTACGAATAATCTTACAAGTTTGTTGGATTAATTATCCATTGGATTAATAATCCTAAACCAAAATATTAAAACAAACATGGGATAATTGGGTCTACGGATTAATAATCCCAATTCCATACTCTAATTCACCCAATCAAACATGCCCTAAATGCCTTAGTTAAATCATATTCAAATTTATTGCCAAAGTTAAGGAAGATAAATTTTCATTAATTGGTAATTAGACGACATTAATTTGGAAATTCCAAATTCAACAATCTCCATCACGTCTATAAATATAAGCTCATTTGTGAAGAAATAGACACACAAAGTCTTTATAAGTTTGAAATCTGTCAAAAAGTTCACTCAAGTTCCTCCTCATATCAAAGCCCATACAAGTGCTTTAACTGAAGAAGAAAAACAAGTTCAGTAAATCCATGTCGTCCCTCTTTAGCAATTGATTCTCGACATACAAAATTTGTAGAGATTTAATCTTATCTTCATATATAGTAATTCAATAAGTTATAGTATTACCAACTCATCTTTTGAGACTAAGTTACTTCAACCCTTAATTTGATTTCTTCAACCCTCTTACACTTGAAGACTTGAAGGATTACAAGTGCTCGATCAAAGATCAAGTCTGTGAAGTTAATATGCACATTTTTGAGGTTTCATGGCTTTTCCTAGTGAGACAATTTTAGGATCATTGCGGTTTTAGAACTTAGGTTTTGAAGGGGCAATTGGTGTATCAGAGGAAGGGGAAGAGAATTATATTGAGTCAGGAATTGACAATGTGGCCTTGGATGAAGAAACATAAACATCTAAATGATTTGATGACCCAAGTGATCAAGTCAAGAAAAAGAATGATCTGATCATCACAAGCATCAATGTCACCACTCAACACTACTTAAATGTTGGGGGTGCAAGCTCAAAGCTAATAATAGCTCAAGTGACAAAGCTTAACCACAAATTGGAGTCTCTGAATGAGATCATCAGTTTCTTGAATGCTAGCAATGGTTGTTTAGGGAAAATCAAGTTTCTTAATTGATGGAAGATTTGCAAATTTGCTATTGATTAATCATTTCCCCTTATCTTGGTTCCTATCTTTGGAAGTGAGTTATCATAGATGTGTTGACTGGTTAAGATTATTTGATATGCCATGGTATGGTGTTATTGAGGTTTAGTTTAACCATTGAGATTGTAAGAGGATAAGGGTGAAATGTTTTATTTTATGCGCCATAGTGAAGAGTTTTTTAGTATATTGACATGGGTTTTATGTGATTGCCGCAGTTGTCTGATGCAAGACTTTATGTTGCTTTTAAATGCAACACGTGTTTGGAACTTGGGAAGTCGTGTATTTGAGAATGTATTTATTGAACATTTATTATGTGTGTGCGCATTAATTCTTTATGTGCTTCATATTGGGGGAAGTTTGAACATAGAGAAGTGGGGAGAAAGAGAAGAAGTGCCACAACTAAAAACGAACTCTTTAAACAAAATGGATGGAGTAGAGAGACACCTTCATTTACAGGGAGATTGACTAGTTCCATAGCAAAATAATAGCTACAAATTTGCAAGATTTTGCAGTGCCAAATTGCTAATTTCAACCTCACTAAGAGGTATCATCTTAATTCCCAAATTTGCTAGACTAACACTGTGTTTGGTTGGGGGATTTGGAGAGGAATTTGAAAAGAAAAATGAAAAAGGTAGGTGAAATGAGAATAAAATATACTTAAATTTCACATAGTTTCACACACTTTTTCTCTTTTCCTTTTCAAATCCCTCCCTAAATCCTCCAACTAAATACAGCATAAAGTAAATCGAGTCGATTTAATGCACATGAAATGGAGTGTAAGTGTGAGGAAGATATTACTGTAATTAAAAAGTCAGAGAGTGAAGTGAAATTTCATTTATAATTGAAAGAAAAAAAAGAGTGTAATTTGTTTCATAAATTATGAATGAACGTTATGTTACGCAATTCCAATCATCCTTGTTTTTAGAGTTTTATTGTATTTATTGATCCTAGTTATTATTTTATTTATTGATCTTAATTTTAATTTTAGCAAATTTCTAGTTTTCACTCATGCATTAAATGAGAGTTCGGTCCGACATGACCCCGTAAACTGTCCTGCTACACCGGTCCGACATGACCCCATAAACTGTCTGCTACATCGGTCTGACACGACCACATAGTGTCTGCTACAACGGTCCGACATGACCCCGTAAACTGTCTGCTACAACGGTCCGACACGACCATACAGTGTCTCCTATCCCATTTTTAGTTTTATTTGTCAGCTTATTTTTCTGTTTTGTTACTCTCTCCAAACTCAAGTTGGCTAGTACCTATCCTCCTTGAGTTTGAGAGGGGCTGTTAATGTAAATGTAAATTACTACTACACCTACCACCAAACCTACCTCCACCTACTACTCCTATCACCTACTACACTCCACCAAACCTACCTCCACCACTCACTCCTCACCTACTCCAGAATCATCTCCTATATAATAGGAATTCTTGTACAAAATACATACACAACAATCTTGTAATAAATCAATTAATAATACACAATTTATTCTCTCTTTCTCTATCAATTTATCTAACAGATTTCATCCACTACTTGTTGGATCTCTCAATCTCGAACATTTTGGTACTCTCTCTTTTAAATTTTGGGGTTTAAGTTAGTTTTGGATTAAGTTTATTTCATGTTATTTTAGATTCACCTTCATTTACAGGGAGATTGACTAGTTCCATAATAAAATAATAGCTACAAATTTGCAAGATTTTGCATTGCTGAATTGCTACTGTAATTAAAAAGTCAGAGAGTAAAGTGAAATTTTATTTATAATTGAAAGAAAAAAAAGAGTGTAATTTGTTCCATAAATTATGAATGACGCCTCGCATGAACGTTATGTTACGCAATTCCAATCATCCTTGTTTTTAGAGTTTTATTGTATTTATTGATCCTAGTTATTATTTTATTTATTGATCTTAATTTTAATTTTAGCAAATTTCTAGTTTTCACTCATGCATTAAATGAGAGTTTATTTTTTTGACTATTTCATTGACTTCTTAATTTATAATCAGTGCATTTGTCCTAGTGATTGTGTAATACTTTTGTAGTGTGAGGTCTCGGGTTCAACTACTATAAAAAGGAGTTTGATACCTTTTATGGTGGCTATTGGGGGCTAATAGTCTCTTATAAATTAAGAAGTCACAAACAAAATTGAGAAAATAATCAAACATAAATGGAGCAAAATGTAAGTTATCATGTCTTTTATGTAGCCTATCCAAATAAAATGGGAGAGAAATCACAATTTTTTTCTTCTCTTTCCATCTTGACTAAGCCATCGTTTAGGATGTTAGCTATTTTAATTGACTTTTTGACTATTTTAGCCATTAAAAAAATGTTGTGATGGTTGTGAGAGAAAAAATGAATGATTGATATGTAAGATGTGATATTTTGTCTTATAACTATTTAATTTTTTTTTCCGATCTGAAAAAAAGAATAGAGTTTTTTCTTCTTAATTTAACAAATTATTTCTTTTATTTTCTGTGTCTTGGCTATCAATACACGTGTTAGAGAGAAGTAGAGGCTCGCAAAAAGAAGAAAAGAAAAATGATTGATACATCAAATTTGAGCTTGCCCAAATTGCCTGAATTTTGTAAACCGGACAACCACTCGAATGACTGGTGTCACCCTTGTCAACCGTGTCACATTTGTAAACCGCAGCTATTACCTTTGTCAACTGGCATCCGTATGGATGACCAGTCGAACAATCTCTCGAATGACCGACATGCACAAATTCAAGGGGTTCAGATGAGGCCAAATTTGGTGGATGTAGCATTGCTAGAAAAAAAAACAAAAATAGAAAAAATTTCAATTACACCCTCGTACTAGGAATAATTGCAATTTTACTCTCAAATTTTTTGAAATTGTATCAATTTGCCCCCTACCAACACATTTAAACGAAAAAAAAGTTTAAAAAA